TATTACAGTGTTCAGGTATCAGAAAACACATAGTATTACTGTGTTCAGGTATTAGAAAACACATAGTATTACTGTGTTCAGGTATCAGAAAACACATAGTATTACAGTGTTCAGGTATTAGAAAACACATAGTATTACTGTGTTCAGGTATTAGAAAACACATAGTATTACTGTGTTCAGGTATCAGAAAACACATAGTATTACAGTGTTCAGGTATTAGAAAACACATAGTATTACAGTGTTCAGGTATAAGAAAACACATAGTATTACTGTGTTCAGGTATCAGAAAACACATAGTATTACTGTGTTCAGGTATCAGAAAACACATAGTATTACTGTGTTCAGGTATTAGAAAACACATAGTATTACAGTGTTCAGGTATTAGAACACACATAGTATTACTGTGTTCAGGTATCAGAAAACACATAGTATAACAGTGTTCAGGTATAAGAAAACACATAGTATTACTGTGTTCAGGTATCAGAAAACACATAGTATTACTGTGTTCAGGTATCAGAAAACACATAGTATTACTGTGTTCAGGTATTAGAAAACACATAGTATTACAGTGTTCAGGTATCAGAAAACACATAGTATTAGTGTGTTCAGGTATCAGAAAACACATAGTATAACAGTGTTCAGGTATTAGAAAACACATAGTATTACTGTGTTCAGGTATTAGAAAACACATAGTATTACTGTGTTCAGGTATTAGAAAACACATAGTATTACTGTGTTCAGGTATTAGAAAACACATAGTATTACTGTGTTCAGGTATCAGAAAACACATAGTATTACTGTGTTCAGGTATTAGAAAACACATAGTATTACAGTGTTCAGGTATTAGAAAACACATAGTATTACTGTGTTCAGGTATTAGAAAACACATAGTATTACTAACAGTAACTGTTACCATTTCCTAAATTTCGTTTAACGTTGCGGTCACTATTAAGGCAGTATAATAGTGATGCTTGTGCATGCGTGTGTAAAACACAGAATACTGATGCCGACGGAGTAATCTCCTTGAAGCTGAAATCCAAACAGGATTCCTACATTCGACAGGAAGTATCTATAACGTCATTATTGAGGCAGTAAGAGAGATGTGTACTTATATGTATACTCTATAACTGAAAGTGGTACTGAAAACATTTTCTGTTTAGTAAGAAGGAGAATAAAATACAGTGACGTGCCTAAAGTATTGCAACAAATATGTCTGACGTCACCGGTGATGTATCAAAAATATTGATTCTCAGATGTTTCAAAAACAAAAGTAACGGGCATCGTTCATGCAACCTCATCTCTATAACTCTTGGAAAGGGTTTAACCCTTCCTTATATGAATGTAGTATGTATAAATTACTAAGTGAACTGATAAAATTTGTAAGGAGAAATGGAATTAACTCAATTTGTCCAAGCCAACTGCCGTCCCAAATCTGACCATTCGATCTTTCGTTTGCTTTTCGCTCTTCCCTATGATACCAAGGCATCAAATAATGTAACGATTATGCAGAAGCAGTGCTACATTAGTGATACCCAGAGCCAAAAGTTATTGTGACATGGATTGGTTTCATTGGTAATACTGTGAATGTATTTTTGGATTTCAGCCAGGGAAAGAGTGTGATAAATTGGTTGAAGAAACGCAGCCAAACACTTGTTTGCAACAGCATTACGGCACATCAAGCAGTAAGCTGGTTTCTGCCTAGTCAGGTATCTAGTTTAAGGCTAAATGGCGGTGTAGCCAAATGGAACGGATTATGGCACTGTCAGTGTATCGAGTACATCACACAGATTTCAGCAATGAAATAATAACAATTTAACCATCTTACCATCTCTTGTTCTTTTATAGTGCCCTGAAGAAAGAATGTGAAGTTTCTTTTTTGACTCAGTATATTTACATGACACATGAGCGAGATAACCTATCAATCGATCAAGTGTGTACCCAGGGTTACATTCTGGCACTTTGCCAAAGTATGTACCTTGCATAGGTAAAGTAGCTCACTACTTCGCTACAACTAAACACTGCCCACCTACCTCTCCAACATGAATCAAAATGTTTGGAAAATTGATTCTCAGATGTTTCCAAAATAAAGGTAACGGGCATCATTCATGCAACCTCATCTGTATAACACTTGGGAAGGGTTTACCATTCCTTATATTAAAGTAGTATATGTAATTTACTAAGTAAACTGATAAAATGTGTAAGGAGAAATGGAATTAACTCAATTTGTCCTGGCCAGCTGCCGTCCCAAATCTGACCATTCGATCTTTCGTTTGCTTTTCGCTCTCCCCAATGATACCAAGGCATCAAATAATGTAACGATTATGTAGAAGCAGTGCTACATTAGTAATACCCAGCGCCAAAAGTTATTGTGACATGGATTGGTTTCATTGGAAATACTGTGAATGAATTTTTGGATTTCAACCGGGGAAAGAGTGTGATAAATGGTTGAAGAAACGCAACCAAACACTTGTTTGCAACAGCATTACGGCACATCAAGCAGTAAGCTGGTTTCTGCCTAGTCAGGTATCTAGTATAAGTGTAAATGTAGCACCCCACTGCCCCTTACTAACCTACAGGTATAGCGACTAACAGTTGAAACATTGTTACAGAACATACCGCACTGCCTCATATCACTGTATGTACGTGTGTGTGGTTACTTGTATATGTGTCTCTGTGTTTGTGTTTGTTTGTGTCTGTGTGTTTTATAACCACACTGTTACTACGTATTAAGTCGCTTGATTTAACAAATCGTTGTTTCTTCTCTTTGAAGAATATTTTACAGGTACAATGTAAACAACCACTCCGAAAGACACCTACCACCCCTTACAGCTCAACTCGTATCTCGTACCATGTCCGATTGGGCACTGTCTACCGCGGAACCAAGAACTTCCATTTTAAATCAGTCATAGTGAAGGGGAAAAACGTACTATTTGAAAATTGATCAATGACAGACCGAATAAAGTTCAATAGATATTCTGTAAATTGATCATTCGAAACCTACGCTGTTGGTTTCTAATGAACTTCGGAGACTTAGGTCTAACATTAATATAATTTCCTAACATAGTACGTTTATCTCCTTTTTCTCAGAAACCCCGGACATTTGCTTCAAGTTTCAGAAAAAACAAACTAAATTCAATATGGTCAAAACATTTGACTTTTCTGAACATCTGTCAATCCAACAGGGCAAAATGAAGCAAAACTCTTGATTTTTCAATAATCTGTTTCTTGTTGCTTTTGATGAAAAAGGTGATTTTGGTCCAGGTGTTTATCTTGATCCATCGAATAGTGATGATCGAATATAGTTCACTAATGGTCAAACTGACATTTCCTTTCCACTGATCTATCCACCTATATTAGAAACTCAAGAGACAATGTCTTTCATACCCAGATATGTGTATTTGGTTCAGAGTGACAATAAGCTAACCAGAAAACTACATAGCAAGGCTTCCAAGTACCAACGTTCAGCATATGTTGAAGAATATGTCTTTAAGAAAATCAGACTACGCCGTACGACTCCTGTCCTGTTCAGGTTATAAGTGATGTACACAATTTGATGCATCATTGACAAAACTGATGTTCGAGGCAATTTGCTTTTCTGACTTATACTTCGTGTTCCCATTCCATTTCAGGTGAACAGCTGACGTGCAGTTCCATGAATTTATGAAAGGTTCCATCAGCTGAGCAGAAAAGGCCCACCTTTCCATGGGCACCTTGTATCATGACTATTTGATGGTGATTCAAAACACATACCTATAAGATAGTGTCTCATAAACACATGGGTATACGATAGTTGAAACCATAACAGGAACTCGGTTTGTGGAAAGCGTGAGTGAGTGAGTGAGTTTAGTTTTATGCTGCGTTTAGCAATATTCCAGCAATATCAGGGCGGGGGACACCAGAAATAGGCTTCACACATTATACCCAGATATGGAATCGAACCTGGGTCGATTTTGTTCTCGTATAATTCATTGGAACGATATTTAAGATTGCCAGACTCAAGTTGACTTAAGCTGTATTGCTCAAACTTCCTCTCGGGAGAATGAAAGACACCATCAGCATTACTGCAGCAAATGATTTATTGAAAATGATGAAAGTGGTACAGTGTCACATACACTGAAAAGCTACCACAAGTAATGCAACGATTCAGGTGAAGTAAGTACTGTTTGCACAAAGAAATGGTACAGGCAGTCAAAAAGTGTTATTAATGTCACTAAGACAACCCTTTGTAAGAAATTGTGCATGATGAATAATACTTTTAATTAGTATTTACTAAATATACTGAGTTGAAAGATATGAAACGGTTCTTTGTTCATCAAAATGTAAATATGTGTGTTTTACTGATAAAATCAGCCAGTAAATCAATGAAATCAGGTCGTAACTTATCAGTGTATATTTGTCATGCCATATCAGTGAGAATGTAATTGCTCATCCTATCTGCTTACACGTTGTAGTATATGCACTATGGGCCGGCGGCCTTTCAGCATGGAGAATAAGAAAGGACTTATGAAACCATCCGACATGATGGGAAAATAATACATTTTGGGGGAATTCAGGGGAAACCATATTAATACTATCCATTAAAAAATACATAGCGTCAAAGGCAAAACAGCAGGTGAAGCATATACTGGTATGTCGGGAATGCTTTACTGTAGGTAGAAAACAACAATGTTTAACAAGAGAATAATATGACATAGCATAATGTTGTTTCACATGTACAGCACGCCCTAAGCGATGATTGGAGCCAAGTCCCTTAATTAATTATTTGAAATGAGGAGTATGCAGGCACTAGCGAGAGAACAGACCTTTTTCTCTCCTTTTCTGCTTAAATTCCTCGATGTATTCCAGGCGTTTGATAAGGAACTCATTATCAGATTCAAACTTTTTGTAGACCTCTTGATCTGGACGAGCAATAAGACATATGTTCTTGCGTTTCTCTGCGCACTCTTCTGTGAATAGTTTGCAGGCTTCAACTGTAATTGTGCCTTTGACAGCAGCAGCAAGGAAAGCTTTGATCCGCAACTCCAGTTCTTGCCACTCGGCCGCAGCTTCGTTGTACTTCGGAGCCTTCTCGTCATACCATGCTCCGATAACAGCGTCTGTTTCTTTTAGCATACCAAAGAAGATGACGATGCCAAGTACAATTCCAATCAAATACATGGTCTGTGGAATGTTGACCGTGACATATTTCTTAACAACAGGCTCCATTACTTCACTACCTGCAAGAGCAGTAAGCAATGATATCCCACCAGACACTGCTGCTCCAGCACATCTGATATAGAAACCTTTGTCCTCATATTTACTCGATGAGACGTAACACATAGGAGCTGCTCTCATACATCTCACCTCAATGTCTCTGAGGTTCATAAAACTTCTCTCTATAGCAGTGTTCTCATCTTTAGCTGGACTGTTGTAAGAATCATCACTGTAAAATAAACGATTATTCTGAACAGATCAAAAGAAACTTGGTGTACATTGCTCACAAAAGAGTAATAATGTTGTATCAACATGCAGTAATAAGGCTTTTGAAATGAAAATCGAAACATGTGGTTCCGTGTTGAATGAGTGTTGTGCTAATACAAACGCTTGAGGCGGGGAAAAACATAAATGTGTTCTGTTTAAAAACGGTCGATTGTAAAAATAACTGTGACATATTTCGTAGGTATTGTAAGTTAAAACAGTAACTCTTGTTACTTTTGTTGAACACAAAATGTGATGTAAATACGCAATGAAAGACACATTTCATCGGTCAACCTTTGGGTTAGTTAACACATATGTCCTTCACATCATGGTGCATGTCAATACTCAGTCCGATTGTGGTTGACATTTATGACAAAAATGAAATGGCGAAATTATACCGGGTGAATAGGCGTGAACAACTACAGAACACATGAGACAAAATGAGAACACTAGAATGAAAGTGAGTGAGTGAGTTTAGTTTTACGCCGCACCAGACAATCCAGACAAAATAAGAATACTGGAATGAAAATACATGAATATTTGTTAACAAAGACATTTACACAGGTAGGTTTGATTGTTTGTTTGTTTGACAATCATTAGCCCACGTGCACATGCTCGCACACACACGCACACGCACGAACGCGAACGCACTCACACACACATGCATTGATATGAGGCAGTGTTATGCATTGTGCAAGAATGATCCAACTGTAATTTTGCATAATCTGGCAGTGGTGCTGTTTAGATCTATAGCCAGACTGATCTGAAAAGGGATACTATTAGAGTCTATCATTTCCGGAATCACAGCCTTTGAATTTTCTTATCTTTTTCTTATGTATATTACGAATTAATTCTTGCCTCTCATATCCCATTACAAGCAGTTAGAAGACCACCATATAGTGTGACCACTATAACCTGGGATACCCTGCCTGGACAGAATTTCAGAATAACCTATCTACCTACCTACCTATCTACCCCCAGCCGCCCCCAGCCACACATCCACACCCAAACCAACACTCACCTCTTAGCATCCATATCCATATCTATAGCATCACAGATGGAACGCAGTGGAGATTTATTGCAGGGCTTGATCCACCTCATGAATGCATATACCCAGAAGTTATATGACGTCACAAATGGCAGTCTGCCAAAGTGTTACATGTCACATGAGAGAGATAACCTATCGATCGAAGAAGTGTGTACCCAGGGGTAAATTCTGGCACTTTGCCAAAGTATGTACACTGCATAGGTGTGGTAGCTCCCAGCCTCGCTTCAACTAAACAATGCCTACTTACCCCTCTCCAGCTACCACACCCAAACCAATAACCCCAAGCCCCTCCCCCCCCCACACACATTAATACATGCACGCGCACGCGCACGTACGTACGCACACACGCACGTATACATACATACATAGTTACATCTTAGCGTCAGAATCAGGTTACAGAGGAAGGTAGGTTTGTATCTTTGATTGCAGCTAAATGAGCACCGTCTGTAAATAATCGAGTCTCAATCAGACAATCATTTGCGCGCTCGCATGCACACACACTTGCATTGACATGAGCCAGTGATATGCATTGTGCAGGAATGATTGATTGAACTGTCATTCGCTGTAAACCCCACCCCCACCCCCACCCCCCTACATACACACGTACATACACATACACACATACACACACACACACACAAACACACACACACACACACACACACACACACACACACATACATACATACATACATACATACATACATACATACATACATACATACATACATACATACATACATACATACATACATACATACATACATACATACATACATACATACATACATACATACATACATACATACATACATACATACTGTTGCTTGTAGCATACCAAAGAAGGTGGCGATGCCAATTCCAGCTCCAATCAAATGTGGGAAATACTTGGACCGTAAAATGTACCTGGACATACATACATACCTGTTAGCGTCCATAACTGCCTTATGATCTTGAACGGAGAGGAGATCTATTTCAGGGCTTTATGTACTACATGCAATGCATATACCCTGAATTGCTCTGACGTCAAAACTGGCATGTTTACATGAGCTACATAACGATCGATGAAGTGTGCACCCAGAAGTAAATACTGGCACTTTGCCAAAGTATGTACATTGCACAGTTGTGGTAGCTCACTGCCTCGTTGTAACTGAAAACTGCACAGGTCATTCAAAGGTCAAAGATAAAGCTTCATCGATGGTCTTTGCGTCGTTACAGAAATTATGCTAAATCGGGTGAATAATACAATAAATGTGTTCTCACTAAATCCTGTAACAGAACTTCCTATTCTTTCTCTTAAGAGCGCCATCGATGTCAGCACGCTAAATATAGTCCACGGTGCGCCATACTGACCCATTAGTTTCAACATAACAGAAGCTGTCTACCTGCCTACCTGTCTACCTACCTCACTACCCACCTACCCCACCCCCCCCCCTCCCTCTCTCCATTTAGTCTACCGTACATTCATCCATCTATACATCAATACATGCATACATCGATACATCTAACAATACAACATTTCTGGTGTCCCCCGCCGTGATATTGCTGGAATATTGCTAAAAGCGGCGTAAAACTAAAACTCAGTCAATACATACATACATACATACGCACGCACGCACGCACGCACGCACGCACGCACGCACGCACGCACGCACGCACGCACGCACGCACGCACGCACACGCACACACACACACACACACACACATACATACATACATACATACATACATACATACATACATACATACAATCCAGTGATTAACAGCAGTTATCTACCCAGGTGGGATGTGTCAACCAAGTCAACGAACCTGACCACCAGATCCCGTTGGTCGCATCTTACGACAAGCATGTGTTGCTGAAGACTTCTAACCCGGATCTTATAAACAGTGTCTATAAACAGTGGTTAGAGCATAACCGTAACATATTTTCCAGGGAACTAATAGTTAAACAATTAATCAAGCATTGTGATCTTCACTGCAAATTTTTCTTCGAAAAATAGAATAAAATAACCCCCTATAAGCTTGCTTAGCTAGGTATAGTTAGTGAGTCTGGAATAATAATCTATTGAATGATTTTACTAAAAATCTCCATTGAGAATGTGTAATTAAAACCTGAAAAGTAAGTGTATTATTCACAACTTTTTAAAACTTAATTATGACCTGACATAGATTGTTAAAGCCAGGGTGACACTGAGGTGACCAGTGAGATAGTCAGGAAGACAAACAAGTGGTTGTGTGGCACCTAAAGTCAGATGCTTTGGACAAAGGGTTCTCGTCGGCGTTGGCTGGAAAAGGAAAGCCCACATTTTGGAACCCTCGTTGCCTTGAGGCAGTAACCACCCATGGTGGAGGCCTATATAGGAAATCTGGAATTTGTTATCCTGAAATCGAATCATGACCCTTTTGCGACGTCTCTGATACCCAGCATTACTGGATTTTGTATCTTTCTCAACAAGAGAAGGTAAGTTAGTCTAGATATGACTCTCCCTCCATAATCTGCCTGCACCTAGGAAAGGGTAAGAGACGGTAAGGGAATCTAGATAATAACAACATGGAGTCTAATACTGCGCAAAAACTCCACACCAGTGTGTGATCAAAGCGCTAACAGAGTTCATAGATATAACATGTTTACGACCCACTGATATGCATATAGGTCTGAAGATGCTTCTTGAAGTGAGTTAGATTTGGAATTGATTTCAGATCAATTGGGAGGGCGTTCCATTCAACGGCAGCATATATGTGATGGGTCTTCCACCAAATGTCTTGGGCTTGATGGACCTTAAGTAGCATTCGATGTCACGGAGAATTTGTGTAGGGACATAGTCTTCGACTAGATCGCACCGATAACCTGGAGCTGTGTATGCAGAGGCAGTGGCTTGCCCTCCACAATCTGCCTGCACCTGTAATAGATAAATCCTGGAGTCTACCAATAATATGTCAGACATGTTTGGCGCAGAATATTGTACAACCACTTGTTTTCACTAGTGGAAGAGATCAAATCGTTGTGCTCTGACCTGTATTCTCTGCAGTATGTAAAGACCCAATCAGACAACATAAATTCAGAGAAAAAAATATCAGTGATGCACTCAAGACTGGCGTCATCAACATCTGAGACTGCAAGCGAACATCTGATCGAACAGGAAAGCTTTACTGTCAAGGGCTGATTGCTCAGAATGATACAACTAGAAAGAGTGACTGGCCTCATCAGCATGTACATTCGTCGAGGTGAAGGATGAGTTCCAGTTCTATGACAACACCAGACCATTATCATAGGATGACACGACAGTACAAGCTGCTACTTGATGCCACTGTTGCAATGGAAGAAGGTTTTGACCACGAAACCACGCCCTGTTGTCATGGCTAACAGAATTGGCAGGATAGATGGAGCTGCACAGTTTCTTGAATTGTGCCAACACCACTATCTGAAAGCACCAAACCCCTTTTCATCCTAACCATTCTCAATAAGTACTGAGGGCAGAAAGAGTCAATCTATGTCCCATTAGCCGACCTGACAAAAGGCCGAGATAATCTTCTCAGTATTTTCGAGTCTCTCAACACTGATGCAAAATGCATCATGCAATGTAGAGTTTTATTCTCTCAGATTTTCGGCATCTGCGCTTTAGCAAAACAGTGATGTATATTTGTGCTTTGTCTGTTTGGACTTTGTTTTAGTAGTCAAAGCATGCCTTTGGACGTATGACTGTCAGTGTCTGCCTCAGAGTGGATGTGATACCGTTAAATCTGGATCAGCTGAATACAGAACTATTGTATATGAAGCTTTCACCAGAAAAATTATTTGCAGAGGAACCAACTCACTGAACCAAGTCAAAGACAATACAAGGCCAGATGAATGTGATATACAAAGGCACCAATCAACCTACAGCGATATCTCTCAACGTCTACGAGCTGGAAGTGGTAAACCTGTTCTCATATATCGACTCACCATAACAGGCAATCGGCTCTTGGATGCTGAGATGAACAGGCCCATTAGCACAGTGTCCGCCAGGCTGATCAGGTGTGTGGGAGAACAACAAGCTGACAACATGAACCAAGGCCACAATCTGCGTACAGTGACGACTTTCGTACCCTCTTCTGTAAGAAAGGACACTTAACCCCTTCCACACGTGCAGTCTGGAATTCATCTTCGAAATCATCTGACCGAGTCACAAAACATATTAAATCTCTTTTCCCTGCTCCAACTCGCAGGCTTGGACACATCCTTTGAATGGAGCACGGGACAACACAGGGTTCTCAGCTCGCACCCATAAAAAAGGTCTTCAAATACATCCCAAAGCTGGAGGTCACTCGACATCAAGGGGTGGGAGAAACAAGGGCACGGTTTTCTAAAGACTACAGATTGATATAAAATTGAACACCTGTTTTTGGGGGAAAAGAGTTGATCTCATAAACAATAAAAAATATAATAATATCAAGAGAAAATTTCCAATTCCTGTAAATAAAATGTTCGCTCACTTACAGGTGTGTTTGGACCAAAGTGATGACAAACCGATCTGCCTCACAACCTAGTTATATTTAAAATATTCTTGCAAACACTCTTTGAATTCGGGAACGTAAATAATTATTATTACAAAATAGTGCATTCAAACAGAAAAGGGAAAACAGTCAACACAGTAACTGATGATATCTGGTCTACCAAGGGCGACAACTGGCCTAGAAAACCTTTTCCTCGGAAGGACTGTCTTCCAAGTACCTTTCAAAATCGAATTGAGTGAATATACAGAAGATTCGTAATCGACTACACGATGACATGGAGGCCGTTTGTGTTTCAGGATGACATAGCAAGAACACACAGGGCTCGTATGTGTTATGAATACCTCGAACAAGGAATCATAATCACCCTACAATGGTCAACACACAGTCCTGACTAGCCACCCATCGAACATGTTATGTATATCCTTGGACGACAAGGTCATCAACCGCAGAGCACACATAACGAGCTTGGTGCTGCTCACCAGGAAGAATAGGATGGAATAAAGCAAGCTGACACTGCGCTTTTCAGTTTTTGTCAGAGGAGTATGCTTGGTCGAATCTGAGATTGTCTTGAGATTAGAGGCGGATTGACTTTTCAGGGTTAATGATGTGCTGGATAGTGGGCCACTTGGGCCACTCATCTAACAAAACCTCATCTCAGGTTCAACAACTAATGCAAAACTCAGTCAATTGGTCCTTTTACACTGCTAATCTGAATATAAATATAAAATAAAATAGCAATAGCTGTGATACATTTGTATTGAATATCCCCAAGTTATATATCCCTGGTTCGTTCGACCCGTGGTTTGATAGGACAAACTGTGAATACGTGTCATTGGCCTGTACATGCATATTTATCCAAACACTGTTGACACTTGTGAAAGATTTTGTTGAGATGAAATCTTTGATGCCTGAATACATAGCTGCGATACTTCTTAAACAATGTCCGTGAACAGATTGACAACTACGAACTTCACGTGCATTTTACTGATGCATGAAAGGGTATGGCCATGGTTTGTAGTGCTGGGGTATAATGGATTTAAGTTTTGTAGCTCAGATCTGTTTAAGTTAATAAATAGTTCTCAGTATTTTCACTGTTTCAGGTATTGTTCGATCATTAATAACTCTTGAGTCCAGGACACGTTTTTTAAATATGGCATCTAAGTACATTAGATGAGAATGTGGTGTTTACCTCAGAAATATCGTCGAATCGCGTAATGTCAGGTAAATTGTGTTTTCTAAAATGCTTTTTGAATTATCAGAACTCTTATGAACTGGTCTGAACTTTGATCATTACACTATCATGTGCATGGAAATACAGGAGATAGATATGAGTACCACTGACATTAGTGATTTTGGATTAAAATAAATATAATGGAGTAAATTGTACTGAAACATAGCTTCGTCAGCTAGGGAGTTTTACTCCACGAGTTTCACACTAAGACACACACCTTTGTTTCTGAATATTGATCTTCCTGCTCATAATCTGCAGGAATCGACACAGGCGCTCCATGAGGAATGGTAGAGGATTTCGATGCTAAGATGCGCGATTGCCAATATTAACCGGAGAACATTGTCACCAAAATTCAATTCTCGTTTTGTTTTTTTGTTTTAATCAGAATATGCTAAGGTACCCTTTCAGCGGAATTCATTTTTCAAAGCATGTTTTGGTATTGTATATATATTAAAATGTGGGTTCTGTGATGTAGGTGTATAGGTACTAGTTTGTTTGGTTGTTGTTTAACGCCACACTCAGCAATTTCCCAGTGACAACTGAGTCTGGACAAGACAATCTAGTGATGAAATCATCAGCATCGATCGACGCGATGGAGGTAGAATAAGTACTATATGTTTTTTAAAAAATAACATAATTTGTATTTTTTATTTTGCATAGTGCTTTTGCATAGTGCTTTTGACAGTTATATAAATTCCTTTTTCAGCAAATCACCTTTTCCTAGCTGTAAATTGTGACCATCCTATTTTCTCTAGTAATGCCTGAACATCACTTGTGGAGAAAACTTTATGCCACTTAAGTCATTAATCAGTGGCCATATTATACAAGCTTAATGAAGAATTACCATATATTAGATTTAAACGATTACCCCAAAGTCAACAAAAGTCTGTGTTTGTTAGATGAGTTTATGTTTCAAGACTGTTACAGCAAATTATTTGAACTTTAGTCCAACGGCCGTAACTTTGTCAGCTGATCCACCTTTCTTGCCAGTTATAAAATATAACGTAATGTAGTTTCATATTTTAGCTTTTGATTAAGGAAGTTGACTTCCCCACCAAAATTCCCCACATCCACCCTCCCAAATATGGTATTTGCGGAGGTTTTGAATGTAAAGATTCACGGGCATCAAATACTCAGTAGAACCCGAAAATGTGTGAAAAACACATTGTAAATGATTAGATTGTCATATATTGTAAATGTTATGAGTAGTTTTTCATACATTGTAAATGTAATGAGTAGTTTTTCATACATTGTAAATGTTATGAGTAGTTTTTCATACATTGTAAATGTTATGGGTAGTTTTTCATACATTGTAAATGTTATGAGAAGTTTTTCTTACATTGTAAATGTTATGAGTAGTTTTTCTTACTGGTCTGTCTGATCTTTCATAGCTGTGTGAGATGAATTTGGAATATGTCATTATACGACAGATGACGCCTTTTGCTTCTGTGATAACCCAACTTGTTAACAGATGCCTACATAAGTTTTAAATAGAAGTCCTGATGTATTGTGATCAAACTGGTATAGATTTTAACAAGATCAATAGTACCCTTTCCGACTGACAAAAAGGCATGCTTTTCTACAATTAATTAGAACAATATCCCATGTACCGTTTTCAGCCAATTATCTTGCAGTACACATTTTGCGTTTATAAAGCATGAATGTACACGCAACGGTTAGTTATGAGATATTGCTGATCGCTTATCTAGAGTTATTTCTATGACCTCTGACTTACCAAACTTAACACCAACGGTGTCCACCTCTCCTACATGCCCTTCCCCTTCATGGCCAGTGATGTCTACTGTCTTATTTGTTTAAGCAACAGAAACAAATGTCAACCTCAATGCTTTAAGGGTATTCGTTTTTCAAGAGACTAAAACCAATTCCTGCAAATTAATTATTCCACAGGCATAAATTTTGGATATTTATACTAAGAAATCTTAATCAATGGCTAGGATTTTTAGATTTTTGTAGAGATACCGAAAATTCCCTTACAGACTATATTAAAATGGATAGTGTCTCGCTATATCTTATCCCACCCTCCCACACACATAAATATCAAGTGGTCAGTCCTTCATGAAATCATGGGGGTGGTGGGGTAGCTTAGTTGTTAAGGCGTTGCCTCCTCAGGCCGAAGACCCGGGTTCGATTCCCTACATGGGTATAATGTGTGAAGCCCATTTCTGGTGTCCCCCGCCGTGATATATCTGGAATACTGCTAAAAGCGGCGTAAAACTAAAGCCACTCACTGTTTGGATAAATGTACATGTACTGGTAAATGACATATATTCACAGTTTGTCCTATGAAACCAACGGGTCGAAAGAACCAGGGATACATACAATTCAATGCTAGAAAGTGTTTTTTCTCATAAAAACAGATGTCTCCCCCTTCCCGCAATTCAATGTTGAGTGAAAGTTCATGGTGTTTTATACATGTATATGGTTGATGCTTCTAAGCTTACTAATAATTGGTATAAACTATACAAAATTTGGTGAAGATGGGTGAAGTGGTTTTAGAGTTATGCTCCAAACACAAACTCTACCCTTCAAAAAGACCAAGTCCAAATCTGTTGCCATTAAAACAGAAAAAAAGAAAATTGAAAGAAAACTCTCTCACACATGATGACGCTGTCTTCAGTGCGTGGCTACACTGAAATCCTATACTTACAAGCTAGCGTTGTTCAGTGTTTATTGAAGGACTTCAGGGTCTGTGTAACTTTAAATCAGTTCTACTTATTCTCGAGGAATTAGTCTGAGCGTGTCCGATAGCAGGGTGTGTATATCATATTTACTCAGGGCAACTTTATCTCAATTCTCGAGGAAACAGATTTAGCTCGTCATACAACAACGGATGTTTATGTGAACCCTGCACCTGATTGCACCTGAAGAAAACGTTTATTGTTATCAACCTCTGTTGATGCATATTATTTTTTTAAATATATCACAAGAGAGCTTAAAGTGCTGCAATTAAATGAAGCTACTCAGACAAAATATATGAGAACAATATTATGCCGTTATTTTCGTTTTACTCAAGTTTGATTGTATGAATTCCTTTAGACAAAGTAACGACTGTTTTGGTGATAAATTAGCATCTTAAAACGACTAATGAAACACTTACATATCATGTAATCAAGCATCGCCCGTTGGATTTCGAGAGTTCAAAATGTTTGCATTTATGAAAGAGACAAATTAGCTCTCTATTTTATGAAAAATCAACTTTTAAACTGACCTGTTTTATCTTGCGTCTTGCTAGCGCCATTCCCAGACATGATTGACTCGAAGGTATCTACATAGATAACACACATATCAGCAAATAACCTATATATACTGGACAAAATAGGAATATTGGTATTTTTATGATTGATATTTTTTCAGTGTGTCAATAAATAAATAGATCATTATTCATAATTTCAAAATTTACGCATACACTTAACTATTTTTGTCAAGTATATTACTGCAATGTATAGAACACATCTGACCTCAACACAATAGCAATTTCAGTATATGGACTATTCAAACCAAAAATATACAAATTTCATTGTCCAGAAAATATGCCGTAATCAAGTTCTGAACATTTGTGATGATGTACATTTCATCACAGTGGTATTGGGAGTCATTTCCATCGATGTACAAATGAAATGTGTCAAAGTCTCGGAGAATCAAGATCAATGATGTGAACAGCGTCAGTAGTGTTTCAAGAACAAGAACAAAGCAACCCAACCATAGCATTTGTTATATCACAGATATGTACCCATTCATATCAGTGCACTCTCGAGTTGAATCGAAACACATGCCTGTTTACTGTTAAGCTTTTTGACTCTGCTGAATTTACAAGCGTAGATAATCCCAGTAATGAAGAACATTTATGTCGTTATATATGGAATGAGAACCACAAGGAAACATTGGTAGATATGCTACGTAACCAGCAACCAACATTTAACGTATAAACGTACTCAATAAATGCTGATATCAACCAAGCACTGGATTTATTTGTCAGAAATGTTTTGAATGCAGATGAAATATTCAAGAAAACACAAAGTAAAGCAAACAAGCGTGGTTTTTATACTAGATGTTGTCAACATGCTAAACGAGAGGCTAGACGTGCACTTAGAAGTTTCAGAAATACTAAATCAGTTTCAAGTAGTCGCAGTTACTGTGAATTTGATATAAAAATGAATGTAGAAAAGCTAAACGTATATTCAAAACAAAAAATGGCGATATGTTAAAATCATCTCTCCCTAATAGTTCTATCTTTTGGAAAGAGTTAAGAAGCTTGAATCACGCCCGAAACGCATGTTTTACTGTGGATAAATCTGTTTTATTCAATAATTTTAAGGATTTGTTTAGCACACACAATCATGTTGATGATACGACAAAGAATGATTTTAACTTTGATGGCCATGAGCCTTTAAACGAGATTGATTATTGTATTCTTGAATCTCCTATTACTGAAGAAGAAATATGATCTTGCCTTAGCCATTTGAAAATTGGGAAGTCAGCTGGAATTGATGGGGTTATTGTGGAATTTTTAAAATCATCTGAACATATTATTATGTCATTTTTTAAAAACATTGTTAACAATATCTTTGATATGGGGACTTTTCCCGTTACTTGGACAAAGGCAATAATTATCCCCCAACATAAAAAGGGTGATCGGACAAATCATGATAATTACAGAGGAATATCCTTACTATGTATTTAAGCAAAATTGTATACATACATATTAGATGTTCGTATCACGAAATTGTCAAATATGTGAAATAAAATACTTGAGACACAGGCTGGATTTAGGCAAGGATACTCTACAACAGATCATAGTTTTACTTTACACGGTATCATTGAAAAATATCTCCTAAAGAAACTAAAAAAGTTATATGTTGCTTTTGATTCAATTGACCGCTCCAAGCTTTGGAAATGTGTTTATTTAAATCCGACTTATACGGGAAAATGTTAACTGCTATTATGAGTATTTATAGCGCTGTTAAAGCCTGTGTTAAAAATGATAATGGATTTACTGATTATTTTGACTGTCCGACAAGGGTGTGTGCTCAGTCCTCTATTTTTTCTCTCTTTTCATTAATGAATTACCAGATGAATTATCAAAAGATGGTAAATATGGAAAACAGTTATTTCCTGACTTATTAGAAATTTTATTACTTATGTTTGCAGACGACGTTTCTTGTGTCTGATACAATTCCTGGGTTGCAAATCAACTAAATATTTTTTATAATTTCTCCGAATACTGGAGCTGAAAAATTAATTTAGATAAGACAAATATTGTTGTTTTCAGAAGGGGAGTCGCCTAGCGAGAAACGGAAAGTGGTTACTGAATGATGAGCTAATAACAACAGTTAATACTTATAAATATTTGGGTGTAATTTTTTCGTCAACTTTTAAAATGAGAAATTGTGTTAATGATCTGGCACTAAGAGGTAAACGGGCTTTAATGGAGGTAATTACTAATCTCAGTAAAATTGGAATTATAGATCCGAGTGTATTTTTAAAAATATTTGATACGCAGATACAACCAATATTCCTTCACGGGGCTGAAATATGGGGAATGCACAAATTTGATGAAATAGAAATGGTCCATTTGATAGCCTGTATAAGATTTTTAAATACCACTCCACAAACTCCTATCGCTATTGTGTATGGTGAGTGTGGAAGGTACTCTTTTATAAATGCAATGTGTAAAACCTTGAAATATTGGTTAAAAATCACTCCTATGAATGAAGACAGAATTCCTTAAAAAGTCTATAAAATGTAAATGTACTATGATAACTTGGGATACGATACATATGCTTCATATACAAGAAATTTTTGCGGTTGGTGATCAAGTTTCTTTTATAAATGAATTCAAATCAGTTTCAATCAATATGTTTTTTCCAGTCATGGAAGTGTATTTTGTATAACAGCTCACGATATTGTATGTATAGAGAATTTAAGATTCTTTTAGCTCCCGAAAAATATTTATCAACTCCGTAAAATGTTGATTATATGTAGATGTGGATTTGTACGATTAAAGTATAATGAAGGTAGATGGCAAAATATTGATGTAACGGAACGCAACTGCCCATTGTGCAATTTAGGAGTAGAAGATGAGTACCACTTTATGTTTGTTTGTAATGTCTATAATGCTCATAGACCATCTGTATATTGTCAAAAACCTAATTATCATAAGTTGAAATTCCTATTAACTACTAACAACGAAATTCTTCTAAGAAAATTATCCACATATTTATACCATGCATATGAACTAAGAGAATCAAAATACCTCCCAATTCAGTAATATATATATTTTTGTATGATTTCTCCATGTACTATGTCATTTATATATGTGTATTGTAAACTCAACCTTTGTTATTGTATACCTGTGTAAATGTACGTAAAATCTGTATATATGTTGTGTACGGGCCTGTGGCCTATAGACAATATAAAGACTTTGAGTATATTTGTTTCCAGAATTTCACTCACAGTGCAATACATATACCATGTGAAGAAACCTGGACAAGAATAAAGGAACACTTGTACGAGCTCGTACTTTCATGTGTTCCCTTATTCGTTTCTATGAGTATATAATACTAATACGAATATGACTTACCTGTTGTGATGAAAGTGTCAAAGTATCTAATTTAAAGTACACCCTGTACAACCCGATGTCTACCCGGGAATAATCTGTGGCGACAATGACACCTGAACTAGATTAGATATGAATTGACTGACGGCGGGAAACGCACAAATGAATTATGTGGTTCTATTTTAAGTTGGACGTTTTTTTATGCATTGAGCCAACTTGTGCGCACAAACCATTTTTGTTTACTCTGCAACATGTCTCTCGAATATTCTATTTTCTACGTCACCTCTATAGAAGGCGTGACTATTACCATGCACACCTAATAAGGTAGCCACTTTCCTTACAGGGAAATCGAAGTTTCCTGGAAACTGTGAGACGGCATTTTAAATAGCCGTGCCCCAGTTGGCTGGGACATCAATACAGTTGTTATATCATCAACAGGTAAGGCCGTTTCCCTATCACAATTAGTATATTTGCTGTGACATTGCCAAGACTTGCTATATTCTGTGCTCAGATATCAGAAAACATATAGTATTAGTGTGTTCTGATATTACCAAAGATACCCTAATAATAACTGATACCATTTTCTAAATTTGGTTTAACGTTGCGTTTACTATTATGGCAGTATAATAGTAATGCCTGTACGTGCGTGCGTGCGTGCGTGCTTGTGTTTGTGTTTTAGCCTGCTGGTATTGGTCCTGACTAAAGCAGGTTTTATACTTTTACTCCATTGCGACACCATGGAGTAGTTTAAAATGGATGTCCCCCTAAAACACAGAATACTGATGCCGACGGAGTAATCTCCTTGAAGCTGTAATCCAAACAGGATTCCTACATTCGACAGGAAGTATCTATAACGCTTTTATTGAGGCAGTAAGAGAGCTGTGTACTTATATGTATACTCTATAACTGAAAGTGGTACTGAAAACATTTTTGTTAGGTAAGAAGGAAAATAAAATACAGTGACGCGCCAAAGGTATTGCAACAAATATGTCTGACGTTACCGGTGTTGTATCAATAGCGTTCCATAAAATAGCGTTAAACAAGAAGAATAAGGTATTGACTTACCAAAACTTGTTAATATTTTTAATATAACCTTTCTGGATTTTGACAAAGTCTTTTAGGGATTGATTGTAAACTTCGAATACTTGTGGCAGAGTGGCCCAGATCCGCTGTACCGCAGCTATCAAATTGATGTTTTCATTGTCTTTTTGAAGTTTAATCTACACACATTTTCTATGATCTTAATTAATGTCTGGGGATTGTGCATGCCAGTCCAATCCTGGGATATTATTATTGTTTTTCCAGCAAGTGGTCTCCCGAGACCGGTGTACAGGCGCATTGTCGTCCTGAAATATCCTGGGGTTGTTCCCAAATTCCTTGGCTACAACAGACCACAAATTGGTATCGAGCACATCCATGTACTTTGATGAGCTATAAGTTCCTTCAACTGGAACCAGTACACCTATACCATTGCAGCTTTCACATCCCAAAAACATTCTACTCGCCGTGGCAGGATGTTTCAGTACGTTCAGACATTCCGGTCTCCACTTTTCGTCAGCATTTCTCCAAACAGAAATGATTCTATTTTGTCCTAATACAACCTTCAGTAAACAACACTTTCTCCCACCTATTAAGTCCCCATGTCACTTTCCCCTTCCCCACCCAACACGCTTCTGGCGATTAACTTGTGAAATGGTGATACCCTTTCTTATCAGTCGTTTTTTTTATGTCAATCCGATGTAAATGTCGCTGAATGGTCCTGCTAGAAACTCGAACATGATGTTGACAATTAGAATTGTGAGTTATGTCAGCAAGAGAACGTCACCTGGTTTGGCGAACAACACGTAAAATTCGCCTATCTCCCTTCAAACCTATCACATGAGGCCGACCACTTCCTTGTCTGTTTTCTGTGCTTTCATCGTCACCAAACTTCTTCAATATTCGCCAAGCAGTACATCTGTGAACTGATAACAATTTTGAAATCTTACTATTTTTCAAACCTATTTCATGCAATTCAATAATTAATTCGTTTTGCTCTTCTGTCGTTTCCTTCACATTGTGAGCGGTGTCGTCTGCTAGGCACGTGGCAGATGCAAACATAAGCAATGACGTCATAAACGGTGTCATATGAAAAAGCAGATTCTAAAATATATGATTATACCTCATTTCATTAGCAAATGTTGGGCAGTTTTCGAAAGTGAGACTTTTGTTTACAGAAAATGCTTCCAGGAGATATAGAGCAAACAAGTTTGTTGCAATACTTTTGTCACTGTAGTTTGTTTTTATAGACCTGCATTAGATATGTGTTTGTCATAGAGTCATCAAAACGTGCTTATTGTTTCTACAGTTTTCTAAAGTATGAACCTATTTGGTTCAGAGTCCCACTACATATTGCATGTATTCTGACCAAACGGAAGTGATATCGTTTATCCCAAAGTGGTTGTAATTTCCCCTTAGTCTTACGACAAGCATAGGTTGCTGAAGATAAATTCTAACCCTGATTTTCACGGGTATATATATAAACATGAATGGATTTAGTAAGCATGACTTGAGATGAGTCAGACTTGCCGGAAAACCCGTCTATCGTGACTCTTGAGTTTGTATTGACGCTATTGCATTCGTCACACTTCAGTGCAACTGTCGAAGCAACGCGCATGTTGAAGTCTGTTCTTCTTAGCTTTCATTTCTCGGGAAATGTGTTATGCACCGACATGACCTAATACCCGGAAAAACGTATTTTGGGAATACCAGTGTATTCTACCCAACCGAAAGTGATATACCGTATTTCCTGTAATAAGGGCGCGGGCTTGGAGGTCCGGTGCTTTTTCGCTTACTGGGTATAATTACCGTAATTGTTAGTGAGCTGCTTTACCCCTGGGGCTCAGTAGAGGAAATACGTTTGTTCAACCAGTTTGTTCAAGGTTATCATATGTTTTGATGTGATGTAACTTCACATCAATATGTTGACTATTTGGAGTTTACAAGTGGTATGAGGCTATAGTACGCATGTTTTGCAACAAACCGACGGTAATAGATCTTGAAATGCCTTAAGCCCTTTAACCATTAGGAATAATGAATAAAGGGTTGCTTCTGATTTTGCAAGTTATTGCAAACACTTTCCTCGGTGTAATAGTTTCTCTGTTGCTGTTAGATATGGCACAACAGGGACGGACTATCACGGGCATGTCTGGAGGAACAGCCACAAGTTCTACTGTAGTAGGGCAGCAGAAAGGACCTCATCATCAAGTTAACAACAGAGGTGACCTTTTGTCTCTTCCGCAACATACTAAGTCCAGTGAAATCATCCCGTTTAATGTCGATCGATGAAAAGAGCATTTAAATATTTGCTAAATTCATCAACTTAAATGTGTCTTCCGAATTTCCACCTGTAGATAAGACTAGACATTCCATTAGGGCTACTGACACTTCTGTAAATGTAAAGCGTATCGATAACAGCTACCTTAAATACATACAGTATTGTTGAAGAATAATCAGTTCTTATGTCATCCATAAAGTAGTGAGAAATGTTTGTCCTCATAGTCCTCATAACACATGTATTTACTTTAAAACCTCTATTGAGGGTACACAACGTGGACATTATGATGGCGTTTGTCCTTTGTATAAAAATCATCCCGACTAATTCATCTTCCATGTACGGTTCTCAGAGTACCTGATCAAATGACTATCCATCGCTATATATATGCAACTGCATATTTAGGTGCATATTTTTCGTTGAAAATGCATACATTTATATGTACATGTTTGTTAAACAGACCAGAGAATCGAGGCTAAAAATATTGGAGGTGTAGCGACTGGCGACAACATTACAGGCCCAATGACAGCCAACGTTGGTCAACAAAAAGCTTTGGGTAATTTTCCTTTGATTTCATGCATGCAACTAGACTAACAACTAGTCTCTGAAATGAACATATTTTACAGAAAAACGGTTCATAGTAAAAAAAGAAAATATAATGAAAAGGAGCCCTGAGGCTGAAGCTGTGGAATCTAGACTTGCCACATTGTTCTAGACTTGGATATGTTTGCAACAGGGTCTGTATGACAGATTAACTTGCAGCAGGCACATGGTGTAATAAATCTTAATTTATTTTAAATGCAAACACAGAACTAGTCATGGCATCGAAACATAAGATGTATGTAGTATCATAAACATTTCATATTTAACACAATTTCAGTGAACGACAAAAGTGATTTATTTCAACAGATCCAACGAAGGCTACATCCAAAGATGTTCTGAAACTTCTACGACAAGAAGAGTGTGACGACAACACTGTTTCCATCTTTGAAAAGAAGAGAATTAATGGAAGAATGCTTCTGAAACTTAGTCAGGACGAACTGAACCAATATCGCCTGACGGATGAGGATGAGAAGAACCGGGTGCTGGGCATCATCGATGACATTAAAAATGGAACATTAAAACTGAATTGAATCCGCCAGGGAAAACAGCACATAGTGGACTGACCTTGTACTGATTCAGTTATCCAACGTCATGCTTCGCTTGCTGTCGTGTTATCTCGTTAGTTATAGCTAATTGTTTCTATCTGGACTATGTATTTGTGATTTATTCAACATAACTGAGAATAAAGGAGATAACTAATTCTAGTCGATCGTTTTGCCCGAGTATGCTTTTTCACATTCACGTTATTTTACATATTTGCAGGACATGTAGCAAAGCGATCTCCTTCATTCAAACAATGCACCATATGTCATAGGAATCGGGTGTCAACTTATTACATTCTTTCATCGTTCTACTACAAACGAACAGCATACAATCGAACCTTATCGATTTGCCATGTACATAAGTGAATAAATTGACTACATATCTGTCAGGTGTTTTGGTCAAGGGGGTGGTGGGGTAGCCTAGTGGATAAAGTGTTTGTTCGTCACGTCGAAAACCCATGTTCGATGCCCTACATGGGTATAATGTGTGAAACCCATTTCCGGTATCCCGCGCCGTGATATTGCTGGAATATTTGCTAAAAGCGGCGTTCTCACTCACCTATTTAGTCAATACCTATGAACTTTTTTGCGCCGTGCAGCATTAATAATCCAATTTGATTTTAGAAATCTTTAGATAGGCGGATTGAACTAAAGTTAAATAATAATATCCCTATTGTAAGGGACGACCAACGGGTTCACACATGACATCATATCCTAATTGTAAGAGGCGACCAATGGGATGCCACATGTCATCATATCCTAATTGTAAGAGGCGACTAACGGGTTGACAACATGTCATCATATCCCAATTGTAAGAGGCGACCAACGGGATGCCACATGTCATCATATCCTAATTGTAAGAGGTGACTAACGGGATGACACATGTCATCATATCCCAAATGTAAGAGGCGACCAACGGGATGCCACATGTCATCATATTCCAATTGTAAAAAGCGACCAACGGGTTGACAGATGGCATCATATCCCAATTGTATGAGGTAACAAACGGGATGACACATGGCATCATATCCCAAATCTGTGTCGATATGTTGTCTCTAGAACATTTCAGCATAATTTAGTTGAGAGGTCCAGGTTTCCAGAAAGTTGATGATAATACACCAAATTCATGCTCATAATATACTATAAAAAAAGAAACGAATAACCCAGAATATATTGCAAACATGTTGTATTTTCAAACATGAATAACTCGTCCACAAATAGACTTTAGCACATGAATTTTTATATCAGTTTAGAAGAAGAAATGTCTAGACAACCAATTGGATAATTTTAGATAACGGGTGACGTTGAGCGCGAGGGTGACGACGTAGCAAGGTCCAGACGTCGGATCTCCTGGTTCTCAGTCCAATCTCTCTCAACCTGCTCCGTACAGTTTGACCGGATATCATCCGAAGTCAAAGGCACCCTGGCTGCTGTGCTCTCACCCGTGGCAGTACGATCAGGCAAATATAGTACCCGGATGTACCGATTTGAGCTGCAGTGGTGACTCGAGGTCTGCCTGTACGGGAACGGTCATTTGTTATACCTGTTTGGCTGTAATTTGGACTTTCAATGGCAGACAGTGCATGCTCTTTCCTGCACAATTTCAACTGGAAGGTGATTTCTGTTAGGTTGTGGTGATGTTTTTTTTAATCCTTGTAAGAAATCTTATCTACATCAACATTTTCAGGTAAAGTCGATTTTCTACTTGTGCAATTGTGTAAAATCATGTTATCAACACTTTTGTTACATATTTAGACGATTGTTTGAACAGAATAGGTAATTCATATATTTTTTAAAATACAAAACGCATATGCGTTTCTTTTTTCTTTTTTTGTGGATAGTATATATATCTGTAGAATGTTAATGTTTATATGGGAAATTGATCAGCCATGGTAAAGCAATAATCCTATTCACTTACAAGTCCCGTGGCATTTATAATACAGATGACACCTTACCATATTGAATTTGGACTTTAATATTGAGGGCATAATGCTATATACTCATAAGCATTAATCATGCACCACCCACTGTTTCATTATGAATACGAAAACACAACTTGTTGTTGAATATGCTTTGAAAACCAAACAAAAGTCAAACAAAAGCAAAACTGAAATTAAAAAATGGTAAGAAGTTACTTACAATCTGAGAAGAATACACAAAAACGTGAACATAAACTATGCCGGAAATTATGGTCACCAGGACTACCCCACAAATATGATTGTCACATAATTTTTAAACAATGGTCGTTCTGAGCAGTTATGAGCCACCGCAGGCGACCACATTAGTACATGGTGTATAACACCTGCCAGTCTCTTCTTCATATTGTCGGCCAGTGAAGATCTCGGCTGGAATTGATCTTCAGTAACCCATGCTTGTCGTAAGAGGCGACTAACGGGATCGGGTGGTCGAGTGGTTACACATGTCATGGTATCCCAATTGCTTAGATCGATGCACATGATATTGATCACTCGATTGTCTGGTCCAGACTTGATTATTTACAGACCGCCGCCATATTGCTGGAATATTGCTGACAGCGGCGTAAAACTAAATTCGCTTACTCACTCACTCTTCATATTGGCAATCAGAAATGCGGATTCCTCTGCCATTCCTCATGGAGTGCCTGCGTCAGTTCTTCATTCTCAACAGGAAGAGCTCCAGCCCAAACCTGGTGTCTACGATAGTCCAAAAGATGTTCAAAGGTGGTTTTTATCGGGTCTCTTTGAGGGCCATGGTAGTGTTCATGGTAATGGAGTTGTTCTTTATATAGGCGCTGAGGGTTCCCAATTGTAAGATGCGACCAATGGGTTGACACATGGCACCATATCCCAATTGTAAGAGGCGACCAACGGGTTGACAACATGTCACCATATCCCAATTGTAAAAAGCGACCAACGGGTTGACACATCGCATCATATCCCAATTGTAAAAAGAGATCAACGGGTTGATACATAGTATCATATCCCAATTGTAAGAGGCGACCAACGGGTTGACACATGGCACCACATCCCAATTGTAGGAGGCGACCAACGGGTTGACAACATGGCACCACATCTTAATTGTAAGAGGCGACCAACGGGTTGACACATGGTATCATATCCCAATTGTAAGAGGTCACCAATGGGTTGACAACATGTCATCATATCCAAATTGTAAGACGCGACCAACGGGTTGACAGATGGCATCATATCCCAATTGTAAGAAGCGACCAACGGGTTGACAGATGGCATCATATCCCAATTGTAAGAAGCGACCAACGGGTTGACAGATGGCATCATATCCCAATTGTAAGAAGCGACCAACGGGTTGACAGATGGCATCATATCCCAATTGTAAGAGGCGACCAACGGGTTGACAGATGACATCATATCCCAATTGTAAGAAGCGACCAACGGGTTGACAGATGGCATCATATCCAAATTGTAAGAGGCCACCAATGGGTTGACAACATGTCATCATATCCCAATTGTAAGAGGCGACCAACGGGATGCCACATGTCATCATATCCCAATTGTAAGAAGCGACCAACGGGTTGACAGATGGCATCATATCCCAATTGTAAGAAGCGACCAACGGGTTGACAGATGGCATCATATCCCAATTATAAGAGGTGACTAACGGGATGACACATGTCATCATATCCCAATTGTAAGAGGTGACCAACGGGATGCCACATGGCATCATATCCTAAATGTAAGAGGCGACCAACGGGATGCCACATGGCATCATATCCTAAATGTAAGAGGCGACCAACGGGATGCCACATGTCATCATATCCCAACAACGCAGATCGATGCTTATGCTGTTGATCACTGTGTAGTCACGATTATGTAGTTAAACAATAAACAAATAAACCAGAAAACATGTATTTAACACCTCCATAACCTATCGGATATACGGTATTAATATATAGAGTACATTAAGTATAACACATTAAATAGTGGCTTGTGGAGTAGTGTGGCTATGAGTCGTTACCATATTTCTGGCAATAGGCTGTGATAATTTAATCCCTGTGTTTGAGGAAATACTCTCCCAAGCGCGTGTTATTCCTCTCGAGTATCTCAAGGGTACCATTAGAGCTGTATTCCCGACGAACAAACGGGTAGATTGCCTCCAACAGGTCACACGGTAGAACTGCCAATTTGTGCCTAGGGACAATTTTTTCCAATCTGTGATCAAAATGCGTGTTCTCACAGATGCTGATGTTGTAGCTCGCACCATAAGGTCAAGGTCGTCATCCCCAGGGAATAATGCCGTGATGACGATAAGAGCCAAGCAGCGACCCGGCACAAAACAAATACGTAATGTTTGATAGCACAGTTTTCATAAGGATTTCAAGAAGATTCTTAAATGAATATCTCTCTTCTTCGGTTATTTGGACATCAAAAAGTTCTATTAACCTCCTAAGTTCATTTGTTACTAGTATGTTGCTAGCAGTCGTTGAACCGTTTGTTTGTGTGCCATAAGACGTCGGGAGCATGTTGCTAACAGTCGTTGGCACTGTTGAACTCCATGTCGGCGTCACAAGAGACTTGGACAGGATTGTGATTGCTCCTCTCCTATGTATCTGTATCCCGGCAGACGATGGCCGGATCCCACTCCTGGCTGCTGGTACTGCAGAGTGCGGACCTGGGAACGATAACAGTGTCGGTACTGCTGCAAAGTTGAAGCTGAAGACGACGATGCATGGCATTACCGCTGTCTGACATAACGCACACCGTCTCGCTCTGCAAATGACCATCGCGTCCTGGAATAAGATAATTGTATAAAAGGCAGATAAAAACATCCTCCCCTTTGTAGGAAACCATATTTAAACAAGAAACACCACCATACAAATCCGTCTGTTACTGTCCGTGTAAATCGTGTGAATATAAGCGACAAAAGGCCTTTCCATCATTGTACAGAACATCTTGCTTCAGTTCTTCTTTTGTTACAGTAACACTATCGCTGAAATTTTGCTGACGTGACTTTAAATTTTAACTCACTCACTCACCACCTACCAGCCGTTGGGTCACTGATGTCCTGAGTTGAGGAGCCTTAAAGTGTACATGTACGTGAGGACTTTAAATACCAAATATTTATACCACTTAAAGGTATGGTGCGTTCACGTATAGCAAAAACAGTGCCAGTGATAACAGTCCAGAGGCGTGGCCTACAGCCAGAATGTGTGGGTTATAGTATCTGGAGATCGTACAGAGGGCGTGCATCATCTGACGTGAGTGACAGGTGTAGGCTTAAATGGACACGGTCAATAACAGATGCCACAGGAAGATTGCAGCATGGATATGGATGTGGATGGGGCACGACTTAGGCAGGATGCAAAGTGTTACACAATGCCAAAGGTAATAATCATCTTCACATTTACTCGGCGTCATTAATGAAGGGTCAAGCTATTGGTAACACTAATTCTTAAAAGTTATAAAATCTTCGTTTTTGTTTGAAATATATACAAGTGAATGTTTTACAAACTTTTTTAACAGTATGACCGATACATTCTGTTACGAATGGCACATCTTGTCAATATGGACATCCACCTGCTACTTAATGTCAATGATTTGCTGGTGCAAGTCGCTCTTCCCATGGTGGAGGACAACACACATGCATTGATGCTTTTTCACTGTCATCACTGTTCAGGCACCTGTTTGAAATCGCAGCATAAAATATGACGTTTTTCGACACTTTCTGAAAGGGGTCAGGCTATAGGCTTTTTGGAATCTGGTCAAACTCAGTGGCAGATTGATGTCTGCTAATATGAGTCAGAGTGCTATTGGTAGACTTTGGCAGTGATTTCAAGTCAATGGGTTTGTGGAATATTCACGTCGACCAGGTCGACTCAGAGTCACAACAGTCCAAGATGAATGATAGGCACATGATTAACACTGCGTTATGTAACAGATTCCTTAACACAACAGATCTTCACACAGGACACTTCAATGTTACCAATGTAGGGATATCCAGGAGCACCGTTCGTCGACGGTTAAGAGCAGCCGGACTCCGCTGTAGGCGACCTGCAGTTCGTCCACCACCACTGTATTCACAGGCAGGCGCGTTTGAGATAGTGTAGACATATATGGCCGCTGGAATCAACATCAATGGTTTCGTGTGCTCTTCAAAGATGAAAGCAGATTCAGTTTGTCCTTCCATGATGGTCGGCAGAGGATTTATCGTCGCAATGGAGAGTGAATCACACATGCAACTGTGGCCACGCATAACCGATTTGGCGGAGGGTCGATCATGGCTTAGGCAGGGATCACTCCTACTGGACATATTCCACTGCACGTGGTTGACGGTAATCTTACCGGACAGCGTTAACTGGACGAGATTCTGGCAGTACCATTCCTGCAAGCTATGCATGGCTTTATGGTCGACCCTCTTTACTGCAAGGCGACACCGCTGGGCCACAAAGGGCCAGGATTGCTGTCCTTAGGCAGCTGTGTGTAGAGAGGATGAAGTGGCCAACATGCCAAGCCTCAAGCCAGTTGAGCATGCTTGGGATGTACACGTCACCCAGCACCAGTGGATCTCCTATGACTCAGCAGAGCTCTAGTAAGGGAATGGGATGAGATTCTGCAAGGTTTTTTTATGAACTTGATAAGGAGCATGAGAACACGGTGCGCCTGTGTCTGTGTTGTGTTGTGTTGTGTTGAGTTGGGTTTTACGTCATTATTCCAGCCATATAGTGACGAGATCAAGTGTGAACTCCTACACATTTTAAATACAAAGGCCAAAACATTTATTTTTTAAAAACAGATATATTCATTGCATTTTTATCTAAAAAAATAACAAATTCAAAAGCAAGCAATCTGTCATTCATTTTACATAGTTACAGTTTATGATACAGGTCAACTTCCCTCAGGAAGCTAGCAATGTGATGTCCGCTGACCCGGGAAACAGGTCTTTCAGATTTATGATTTCATAATGTGAGTCCCTTTGAGTTGAAAAGTCCACACAGTGTAGCAGTATATGCTTGATGGTGAACACTTCATAGCAAGAGACACACATGGGAGATCCATCGCCATCATAGCAAGAGATACACATTGGATCCATCTCCATCCGTTCAGCAGATAGTCATGGGTAAACCGACTATGGCCAATGCCCCAAGTTGGCAAAATCTATTTTTGGTTTTAATTCATAAAATGTATTTCTTCCTACAATTTTCCATAAGGTTCCGAGTATAATTTTTGATAGTGACTTTCAAATCACTATACGGGATCAGCAGTGGAGATAACGGCTTGTTAAAAGCTGCTTTAGCTGCAGCATCGGCCGTTGTGTTACCTGCTATATCAACATCACCCGGCAACCTGCAGAGGACGATGTGATATTGGCCAGTAGAAAGATCGTTGTAAAGTTCTAAGGGTGAATGGAAGTAACATTTTGAGGTGCCTGAAGGCAAGATAATGAATCTGTAAAAACGATTTAGTTTTTGGAATGATTTTGTTGTTTAATGTATGTGAATACAATTAGTTATGGATTTTGAAAACTTAAAACCATTTTCATTGGCCCATTTTTGAATTTTGTTAAGGCAGAGTTGTACCTGCCTTTCTATTGATTGTATATTCTTACCACGGCAAGAATTACTGAAATCATCTACGAAAAGGGATCCATCAATACAGCTGTTCAATACGTTAGTGGGGCTGTTAATTTTGATGCTAAAAAGTGTGACAGACAGGATGCTGCCTAGAGGAACAGTGTGAAGCCCACTCTTACTTGAAATTGTCTGTTGCCTAAAAACTGGGATATGAATTGAGGTAATCTGCCCCTCAATCCCAATTCATGCAAATCTTTTAAGATGCCAGGTTTCCACGTTGTATCATGAGGAATGGTTTGCCAACGTTTCACCAAGTCTGTTTGCAATTTCAGACTTATTCGTTAAAAGAAAGTCACCATCTCTGAGATGGCGAAAACCAGATTTTGATCCCTTGCCCTTAATCTTAATAATTAAGGCGTGCGTGCGTGTGTGTGTGTGACAAACCTGTCATGACAAACCTTGTTCTGTGTGGAAGGAGGTATATATGTATATTTTGCTTAGTGAACTGCTTGTTTGGCCCCGGTCTAAAACCAGTGTAGATCAGCTTTTCGAAGTACAATCCACTCACCATGAACTGGTTTTACAGGCTACGCGTGAGTTAGCTCCCCTGCACCACAGGCCTTGTACCGTGTTGAATGCGGTATATGCGTATATTTATAACTTATAAATTGCTTGTGTACACGGCTCCTGGGCCCAGTTATATGAGATATATGCCAACCTTACAAAGGAGCAGTCATATTACGTCGCCAAGACGAGCAGAACAATACCGATACCCGATTACATCGATTTCACGCGTCGTTTATTCGTCAACAGACACTGCACAAACAGCTCCTGGAAGTCATACGCCCGGTGTACAGGTGCGCCATTACACATCGAGGGCCTGTACGTTTATATTGCAACCACAGTGCACACGAGCGGGGTGATTCGTGGATTCGGTAGGTGATTATACTCGTATTATTACTTAATACAGTAACGCACCTATCACATTGCTATTAACAACATGTTTAAAATTCAATTACACAATATTTATACGCATGATACTGTGTTCATTTCAACACAGAGTCTTGTAACGCTAAACACTGCCACCAAGTTATACACTGTCACTGACGGGGTCTATATAAAAGGAAAGGGGTGGATATAATGCAGTGGCAGTATATGCCTTGATGGCAGTTTTAGCGTTACAAGCCCCTGTGTATTTCAATACAGATGTGTCAATTTCTATATTTATGCTCATTCGATCTGAAAAGTTATTCTGCACCTGGGAGAGTTGAAACACATGAATCGTATTGGCACGTGATATTAAGTTTATTATAATCCATACAGTATAATGTTACACCTGTACTGTTGCCCCGACTACGAACAGTAAGTAATACGAAACCAGGAAGTATTTACAAGTGAGCCGACAATGACTTGTGTGTTATCATGCGAATGCAGGACAGACCTACACTTCATAGTTAATGTAATGGCAGAGTGTACATACTCCTCTATTGTGCACAGTCATGACAAAAACCAGTGTGAACACTTTTTTTTGGTATTAAACAACACTAAGCATGGAATGCTTTACAGGAGTTAACTCCCTTGACATGATAGGGTCGCGCTGCACTTAACGACATGACAAAGTTAAAATTCACCTGTCAGACACGGATATATACCAGTGTATAACGGCCACGAAGGTAACACGCAAGTTCTCTCCGTATATAGTTTATAATATACTGACCAGCAATAAAAACGCAACTCAGAATTAATGAAAACTATACTTTTTCAGCATGAGTTTGGATTTGATGCTTTAACACAATTGTTTTGATTTTTTTAATTGCGTTTCTTTTGCTGGTCAGTTTATATTCATACACATACGCACATTTACGTACATATCATCACACACATAATTATATATATACACATGTATATACAACTGTTGATTCAGTCATGTGTGAGTCCTACAGGTTTGGGGATAGGTACTTCATTGTTCATACACCTTTCTATCAATATAAATACAATAAACACAACCAGTCGATTAATGTTAAAAAATCTCATAAGATTGATATTAACTACAACGAAATTACCATTGTCTGGTAGTACTGAGAATCATTTGGTAATAATCCTGTTCCAAAAGTTGATGAAATCTCATATATTCATGACCTTGATAATGGTGGCAAAACGACAAAAATCATTAACCTTGTTAATAATATTAGACGTCCAGCTAAGCATCCTTCCCCAAATGTTGACAGAACTACTAGAATTGTTGATGGGGGAAGCATGTAGCTAATACCCCGAAGAAACAAAGCCATATATCGCCTCCAGTCTTACAAATGCCAGAGTGCACACTACAAGTTGTACTGGATACGAAGTAGTAATGCGAGTAGGCCACAATGATGTTGATATGGTTAGTAACATATTTGATACCGATGGTAATGGTTTAATGGTGAAGTGGGTGATACCTTTTCTGTCGATCCCATTGTTTGCCAGACTGGATGTGGTTTCCAATAATGTTGGAAATATTGAGTAGCAAGGCATATCGGTGATCTACATTCACTACAAACGCCAAGCATCAAATCTTGTTGTTGGTCACTTCTTGTACTAACTCATTCTCTTCCACAGAGGTTACTCCTGTCATATCTTCCTACATAACCTCTGTTCTAATACGGCCATATTTCCCGGTCATCGTAAAATCCCTAGCGGCAAAATATCGCAACACGAATTATCTCCTTCTTTCTATCCAATCAGAACACGTGTTACATCGGCTTGGAATTCAATTTGACTAACACACAAGCAAATGCAGGGGCCACAAATATCCCCATCTGCCGGGGAATTGTGTTGATGTTACACACAAGACGTTGTATGGCTAAGCTTGTCCGTTGTCAACGAGGGCGATGGAGACGCCATTGATACGCCATTACATGACTGAGTTCTGTCTAGAAGAAACGTTTGCGCATCGCGCTCGGGAAGAAGGTTCTAGTTTTCCCGAAGCATGCAGAAATTACCGAGGCCTTGCGAATGATCCTTTTGAAACAACGTCGCTGATTGCACAACTTCGTCGGCTTGTCTCAATCACGAGCCTTGAACGCTGCTGACACCAAGAAAGGGTCGTATTAGAACAGAGGTTATGTAGGAAGATATGACAGGGTAACCTCTGTGCTGGGGAAAAGAAGAATGGTACTAACTGTAAAGCCCTACACAAATCATAACACTGGACTTATATACCAGGTCAATCATTTCCCCAGTGTTGCTGATAACGTCCACCCCAATACACAGGCTGAAGTAATGACTGTAATACCTCTATCCGCAAATGTGATGACAATACATGTCCCACCGAAACTGTTTATATTGTTAACCTTGGTATGTTGACGAAAAGTTGCAGCTGGCATTAACCCTGATAATGGTAATACATGTAATTGTGATTCATAATTGTGCCATTTGTGCTTTGACAACCTTGATAATGTTAACAAGGATGTCTGTATAGTTGACTCTGAAAATGATCAAAGTGTTTTATAGTTTTAGACAAATAGTGTTGCTGATGATTTAAGTAATGTAGACAATGTATATGTTTTGGCTAATAACATGGCAGTGACGATAATGGTGTTGATGGCGATGCTGATGTTGATAATTCTATTGTTGTTGATGATGTTGATCGTGCTGATGTTGTTGTTGATGATGTTGATCGTGATGTTGTTTGTTTGTTGATGATGATAGGTGATGATGATGATGATGATGATGAGTGATGATGATGATGATGATGATGATGAAGGTACTCATAACTCGATCTCAATCCCTTACAGATATTATCATTAAATGTGTGTGGTTTGTGGAATAGACTAGAATATAAAGAGAATGTCTGGATTTGAATTAACAAAAGGACATAATAGGATTGCAGAAACAAAGACTGCTAGTTTAGATGACCTAGCCATGAATGAATATACAATAGATTTTTAAACATAGGACTGGCTGGTTATAGTAGGAGATGTATGGGGCAATTTGTGTTTCATTACATACATACATACATACATACATATATACATACAGAGGTTCACATACACACACACACACACATACATACATACATGCACAAAGGTTCTAAATATCCAACTGTTCATTATTTTTTGTTTTTGTTATGAAGGACATTTATGTAGCACACATATCCATACAACTCATTACATGTACATGAAATTGAAATTATGAAATACCTACCAAATAGCCCTATGTTACACTATTTGATGACTTTAAATTCAAGAGCTAATAATATATGTGATTATAAGGTGTTTAAAGAATTTATTTTTGAAAAGAATTTGACCTAGAAAATATCGAAAATGATGAATGTGTTAACTGTGAAAATATACTTGAAAAATTAAATATGCCCCATGTACGTAGCTTCACACAAGACCGTGAAAAGAGTTAATAATTTTTGGTACAAAGTTGAGTTGAACTGCGTTAAAAACTTAAACTATGTTTATATTCAACGGTAGAGTTGGTAAAGATAACTTGATTGTCCCATCGCCTTTACCCTGAAATCAGTAGAAAATTCTGCTGTATTCAAATAAAGTCAGTGTTGTACACCATATTACCAGCATAGTCCAAAGCCCCAAAGCATGATAAATCAAAGTCTGTATCGTTCGTTCATAACATTGACAGTGAACACGTTAACCACATCTTACAGTCAATCGCGATGCACGGGTAGGTCACTGCGACCCCGATGACGTGACTAAGCTCACCGACATCATCTCGCACATGCTTACAAATGCGGCACGTAGAAACCTTCGGACACGTGCAAACGTTACGTCACTAAGAAAGATCGAAAAGAAAAACAAACCTTGGTTCGGACACGAGTGTAAAACATCAAAGTTTGTACGGATAGAAATATACGGAAGTTTAGAATGGAAATTCAAGGTATGATGAGAAATTCTCAGAAATTCTGGAGGTTTTCAATTGTAATATTTCGCAATCAGAAAATGAATCTATGCTGGATATCGACGCTCTCTTAAGAGTACCCTAAAAGCACAAAACCAGTGTGATGAAGTAAATCAAATTAAAGTAATGATAACTTTGATATTCCTGATGAAATCTATAACAGGGCCGATTCATACGAGATTGTAAACAGTTAGATGGTGATATCACTATAGACGAAAATAAGACGGGCTGTTAAAGAACTAAAAGAAAGAAAGCATCTGGATCAGATTTTATTGAAAATGTCCATATAATTGATAGTCTAGTGCACGTGTATGCTGAAATATATAATTTAGTATACTCGTCTGGTACTATACCAGACAATGGCTTAATTGTATCAGAAATCTATATCCAAAAATAGAGGCGATCCACAGAGTCAAACAATTACGGACCAATCACAATCTTAAGTTGTCTAGGTTAGTTATTTACTAGAATTCTAAACACACGGCTTACTAATTTTCTCAACGAAAACTCTATCTTAACGTCCGCACAGGCAGGATTCGAAAACACTTTATGACGGCTGATAGCATTCTTGGTCATTCATTCATTTTAGCTTATGCTTTACCTAAAACTATCAAAGAAAAAATTATATTGACTGTGCATTTTGTTGATTTTTTCGAGAGGCTTTTTGACACTGTTTGGAGTGTGGGTAAAAAATGCAGAAACATGGAATCGCAGGCAAATTTACTTTCTTACTTTGGATAAAATATGTATAATGATATTAAATCACATGTACAGGTAAATAGCACAAGTTCTGACTACTTCCCTTGTTTAACTGGTGTTAGACAGGGCGAGAATTTATCTCATTGATTGTTTTCTGAATGACATGGAACTTTTTACTATTATACAAGGGCTGGGAAAATGTAACCATCAAGTGTGTTAAAAACTCGGACCTCGTTTTGTGGGTTCAGTTAATTATTTCATTGTATGCTGAAGACACAGTTAATTTTATACAACACCTGGTGGATTACAAAAGCCTCTAAATATGAATTTTTTG